GCGGAGCCATGTGTGGTGGTTTGGGTTTTTTTTTTGTGTGTGTGGGTTTGTTTTTTTTTTTTTTGTTGGTGGTGGTTTGGGGTTTTTGTTTGCTTTTCTTAAGATAAGAGCTGGGAGACAGCTATGAACAGTGATGACTTAAACTAAGAATGTTTATTGTTTTGAAAATTTAAGTATTAATGTCTGTAATCACTTCAATAACTAGCTAAAGTTTTGGAGAAGAAGTCAAATATATAGAAGAACTAACAGTCATCTTCTCAGACCCCTAAAAATCATCCTCCACAAAGAGGAAGACAAGCCATGACTCCTGCATGGACTCTTCTGCCCTTCATAAAAGGAGAGAAAAGAAAAACATTAGGTAGATATGATGCACCAAAATCAGAACGGTGGAGCTGCGTTATCAGCCAACAGTTGCTGGTTTATCACTGCTCACCAATCACAGTACTTACTGCCAAGATGACTCTGTCTCGCTCGAGAAGATCAGCCAGCTTGTGCAGTAGTCGTCCTCTGCTTAGGGCATCCATCTGTCTCCACGGAGCCCCCCTCTGGAATGCTGCCTTTGCTGCTTCCACCGCGTTATCCACATCAGGCTAGAGCAGCCACATACACAAGAAAACCTTGTGTTACAAGGAAGGAGCTGGACAATGGCACAGAAACCCCATCAGGCTGCTTCCTAGATGATGCTGTGGTGGCTAAAACAAAGTTGTCTGACAAAAACACTTCCATTTTACTCTGGATTTGGAGCCCAATCTGCAATAAGCTCAGGGTTTGGCTTGGGTTCATAAGCAATCTTGGGGTCAGGGTACCAATAGGGTCTTTCAAGGGTAAATTTATGCAACTGGTTTGTTTATAGAATAATCCAGAGTCATGATCCTGCTGATACAGGGTATAAGTGACACTGGGGGAGGATGAAGAAACAAGATCCCAGTTCTGTTCCCATTACAGCTTCCCTGAGCGTGACAGGCCATTGGCCTGCATGAATCATCCTCCTCTGAACAAGTGTGGGAAGGAAAGTCCCCCACGAGAGAGATCACGGTTTTATCCAGGGGAACGATCACAGCTCAGACCCCACCATTCAGTTGCACTGGAACCCATGCCAGCAACAGTTAACATGCTACGAAAGCTCACTTAGATCCTAGATAACAATTCCAGAACATTTCTACCAGATGGGAAGGGGTTTGTTGACAAAGGCATTTCACCTATACAGACTTAGTGCCACTCTCCCTTCATCTCCCAACTGCTTTACTGCACTCTGGACCAAATCTGACTCTGTTTACCCAACTTACTACTCAAGTGGGCAGCGAGTTCCCTCTCTTCCCACACCACCACCCCCAGAGAAGTTTCATACATTTGCTCTGGCCACAGTATGCCCTGAACTCCTCCCTTCTCCCCACATACATTGATTAAGAAAAGTGAAGTCAAGGGCAAACTCCCGACCCAATAAAGTCAATGGGAACACTGCCATCAATATCTGCAATGCCAAGATTGTACCCCAAGCATATATAAAGCATACTTCGCCCTGGCTTTGGACAGAATCCTGCTCTACGTAATGTCTGGCACAGCCCATGCCTCACTTTAGCTGATGGAGAACTTGTACCTCACCGCAATATATGGCTCAAGGGGGCGGGAAAGGAGGGAGGGTTTCAGGCCTTGATCATTCCTCATAGCACTTAACCAGTTGCTCTCATTTGTCTTATCTGAAGTCTTGTCTGGATACAGTTACAAAGTAAGCCTCTGCACTGATCCAACAAGGTCTGGTCATTCTCCCCTCATGGGGAAAGGTGTGGTACTCAACCAAGAAAAATGTTATGGGGAGACATGTTGCCTTCTTACAGTAAAAGTTCATGGAGAAAACAGCAAGTCATCACCCACTGAAATGGCACCTTACACTACATTTGGCTCCTTTTATTCACAAGAAGATTACACAGCTTTAAAATTGTCTGACCTATACTGCCAGGAACAGAAGCCCACCCTTTTGGAAGGGCACTGATGGCAAAACCACTGGAGTAAGCTTGTGCTGTTATGGGGGGTTAAGGATGGCTCTGGTCAAGCAAGGATGCTGGCAAGGCAGAGGTAGTGAGCAGCCACTGCGTGTGGGCAGGCATGTCCTGCCTGGGGCCCGTCACCCACAGGCAGAATGGGCCTGCAGGAGGGTTCGCTTCAGTTGAGTTGGTCTGGATTCAAACTGGTCTGGATTCAAACTGGTCTGGATTCAAACTGGCACATCACAAAAGCCAGAAGGTACCACCAGCTGCTGCACGCTTGTGTACTCCCCATCCTGCCTGCTGGAATGAAGACTCAGGCTGAAAGGAGGCAATATTTTATGTGACAAACCAGATGAAGAAACATGAGAAGTGTGTCAGGTTTAAACAAGTCTTCCCTTAGAAGCAATTAATTAGCTTCTGTGACCAGGCTGGGAGTACCAACGTGCAGAGCATTGGGTTGGCAGTGGCACAGGCCACAGCGCAGCATGAGAGACTTCCCACCACCCTGACACTTACGGGAACAGAGATCAGATGGCTGAAGACTTCAGTGCATGCCCAGATCTTCCCCATCCTCTAAACATGGGAGCACCCGAGCCCTACTGCAGCTCCTGCAAGTACCAGTTGTCTTCATTCTTGTCTCTTTTCTCAGCTATGCTGGACACACGTAGCGGCTTGGAGACTGCGCTCACTGTCACAGTGAGCAAAAGCAAAAAGGTTTTCCCAAAACACCCTCAGGGGCAGCATCACCAAGTGAGATCTTGTGAGCCTGCACAGCCTCAATAGGCCTGAGAGACCAGCAAAAACAAGGAAATTCTTCAGAAAGGCTGAAACACCATTCTTAATCCATCCTGTTATGACTAGGCATTAGGGGAGTCTGAATGGCATGTTCATTGCAGGCATGTTGCAATAGGTAGGCACAATGCGTGACAAAGAGACTCGTAACTGTCAAGGTGCCAGGGACACTGCGGTATACAAAACCACAAGGAGGAGATCCGTGCATCCTGGTGCTCAGTTCTGATCTACACAGACTTATGGAGTATTGCACAAAAAGTTCTGCTAAGAGAATATTAAGATTGCAAAGTCAAGCACTGCGGCGTTGGGAAATGCCTGCAAACCTTCATACCCACCCTGGATGTTTGCATTATGATACAACCCCCAGTTACACAACCGCATACCATTTTCCCCTGAACAAACTCACACCGTTCTTTGTCCTAAGCTATCTCCTCCACCTTCCTCCTCTACCTCAAGTCCTGCTCATCGCTGCTCCATTTCTATTCTAACCCGTTTTTCTCTCTCCTGCCTCAGGAGCAGGCTGCAGAGCACAGTGGAGACCGTCACCTCCACTGGTTCCGAGTAGAGAAAAAACATGCAAAAGAAGCCTTACTCTGCTTCAGGCTCAGTGTGTACAACGCTGCTTTGGCTTGGCCAGTAAGGAGACATGCCAGGGATGGAGCACACCCAGTGAAGACCGTCCTTCTTGACTTCATTTACTAACTTCTTTGAAAAGCCTCCACTGTGCAGTTCTCTGGAAAGGCAGGAGCACGCCAGTTTCTCAGGGAGAAGAAATTCAGGCCCAACCTGCTCCCCTGCAAACAGTCTACACACCGCACTGCTCTAACTTTTGAACCAAAGTTCATAACAGCTACTAACAACAGCTTAACAACTCAATGTGTCCAAAACCATTATTGAGGGCACTGCAAGACTGCTGAAGGGAATAATACTCCTGCAGCCTCTTACGTTGGCCTGCCACTGCAATCTGAGGGGGGCAAGATGACTGTGAACAAAACCCTCCTACAACCCTTCAAAGACCCACATGGGAGACTGAACTGCTTAGAAATGATCATGACAGATGCTCCATGGTTCGACAGTCACAGCCATGGGCCTGCTGCCCACACTCCGTGGCTGCCAGCTGAGCTGGGCACTCCTTTGAGGAAGAAGCACCTTTCTGCTGCCCTTGATGGATGTTAGCAAGCTGCTAGAAGAAAAAAGCCCGCCTTCAAGTGTTATTGAGAGCACCAGAGAAATGACACCGGTGCAAGTATTTTTGCCTTCACATGGTAACACATAGACAGGATGCAAGTTCTGGGGCTGTACTATTCACTGGGGGCAGAAGTCTAATGAGGAAAGTTACTCCTTCTCTGATATCAACCTAGCAAACACTTGGACACTAAGCTGTTATTTGGGAGGCAAAAAGCCTCCAAGAGCGGAAGGATTTGCCATTTTATTTTCAGTGCTTCTTTTTCCACACCAGACTTTGCTTTATCCCCCAACTATCCCATCAAGGGCAATTCTGTCTTCAATTCTTTAACTAGAGAACAAACAACAAAACCTTTGCTCCTAGCCTCATAAAGCATTGGCCAAGTTTCAGCACCAGACTAAATTGTCATCGCTGAGGTATCAGCTGCCAAATTCCCACCCCTCACGTGCAGCCTAAGCAAAACACACTCTGCCAGGGAGGGGCAGGTTTCTGTTCAGGGCTAGGGAAATGGAGTCCTGCTCCCAGGCTGCTGGAAAGGCAGAGCCAACCCTGGAACAACACAGTTGAAGCCAGAGCCAGTACCAGGAACTGCCACCCCTGCGGTGGTACTGACCAGCCCAACCGAGTACAGTTGTACGTGGGGACAAGACACTAGAAAGCACCACCAAACACAACTCGCCACTTTCTGTAGTAACTCCACAGACTGGAGCTACAGACCTAGGAGGGGATGTTCAAGCAGGACAAAGGAAGTCTCAGGGGACTCAGATTGCCCAGAGGACAGTGGGACATGGTCAAGTGACCCCAGTAACTAAACAGCTAGCTTGGGATGCTTCTCACCCCTGACTCTGCCTTCTAACCAATCCAGATCCAGGTCTAATCCCACTCAGTCCCTCACAGAGACCTACTTAGAGTGAAAAATCAAATTTTTAAAAATCTGTGTGATGTAAAGTGGTGGAAGCAGAGGCTTTTGGCATCCAAGGTGCAGGTAGCGTACATTCTTGCCTGCAATCACTCTATGCACCGAGGAATCAGGCACCTATGCTGAGTGCCCATGGGCAGAGGGCTCCACTGACTGGCCCCAAGGAAAGGTTTACAGTGACTCTCCTGCAAGCTAGGAGCTGAGAGCTACCCTTGAATTCAGGCAGGGACAAGTCTCAAGGAGGCAAGCTGCAAAACTGGCCTTTTAGATCTGTCTAACAATTTTCTTTAGCCAAGTCATTAAGAAGCAGACTTGAAATACTCATGTAATGCACTGTAACTGCTTGAGGAGACACTTAGCTCAGGGAACAACAGCAACATCATGGTTTCTGCCTAGCAAAATACAGTTGCATCAGAGTTAGCTTCAACTCTGCTGTTTACATGCCACTGTAGTTAAACACAGTTGTGTCCTACCCAGTTAGTATAAAGGAATTACACATAATGTTTGGTTCTGCCTCAATCTGCAATTGCCCCATGGATGCACAGATCCCCCACGGCAATAGGTCTCAACAGAAGCCAATTTAGTGCCATCCAAAAAGAGCAGCTACCTTACACACTACTTGCGTGCAGGCTGGAGATTTGTATTGCCAAGCAAGTTTGCTCCCATCTCCAGAACGGTCAGGCTCTACACTTTACACAGTATAATGCCAGAAAACACATTGCCTCTGCTCATCTAGTATCACTTCTACTAGCAAAGGATCCCCAAGGCAGCTACCTGGCTGGAAACCAGTCACTGGGCCTCACAAGTGTTGGACAAGCTTAGATACCAAGAAAAAGATACCATAGTACAGGCAGAAATGTCCACATTACCCATCAATTACTGCCACCAGCAACTGCCAACAGCCAAAGCCCTGATACAGCAGAGCGGCTGTGAATCACCTTCCCATGACATGCTACAAAAAGCCAGCTGTTGGGCCAGCTCTTTCCCATAGATCAGGCTAGTTGGCTCATATGTGATGAGCTGTTTTGGACAAAAAGTGTCACATCTGATTGTTCCTCACGTCAGACTGTTACCAAACCCAAGCAGTTATGTTCCAGGCTACTCTACAGTGCACCAGGGCCAGAGACTACTAAAGTTCTTGAGAGATACTGGTTTGGTTTGAACTGAGAGTTGTCACATTTTTGCAGGAGGCCAGAACCCATGACACCAGTTGGAAAAGCATCACCACATCTCTTGTAGGAAGTGGGCAGTGTTTGCATGACTGAGCTTAAATTCCCCCAAGCACTCAGGTTATTCATTGATTGTTTAAAAAAGGGTGAGTTTCAGTTCAGTGTCTCCAACAGGCTGCCTTGTGCATAAACCATTCCCAATATGAGGGCCTGGCTCTGCCATGGATGTGTATACACCGTCATTGCTATTTCCTCAAACTGGCTGCCTCCTTGTAAACACAAGTGTGTTCCTACAACACAAGAACGATGCTGAACCTCATTCCTCTGACAGTGTTTGGCAGGCAGTTCCCACCAAGGAAAGCGACTCTGCCGAGTTGGACAGGATTGATCCCACCCATCCCATGTAATTCTTGAGCAGCACATCCAGTGTCCCACAGCTCCAGGTCACAGTCTGGCCAGATGTACGTTGTCGTTAAAAGCCAGCTTTTCCTCTGTGTGCTTCCCTACAAAAGGAAGTCCCCTGGAAACTGTCTTTTGTGCTGTCTTTCCAACAGCACTTACCTTGTCTCCTTCCTCAACGTCACAAATTTTCTCCAGCGTTGAAGGGTTGTAGGTGGGGAACTTCTTTCCACTTGTAGACTCATGCCATTCATTGTTAATAAATATCTGAAGAGAGAGCAAGGGGAGTGGGATGGGGAGGAGAAAGAAAAAAGCTGATGTAGACAATGCAAAAAACCACAAGTACTCCACAAAGGTCCCGAGGCTCTTCAATTTCCATTGATGGCAGAGTCAAGAGCGTTCAGCCTCTCTCCCAGGGAGACTGTTTGCGATACAGACAGCACTTATCCAAACTAGAACCTGAGCCAGAGAACAGACAAAAAAGCCTTCGTGTACCCAGTTAGTTTTGAGCATGAGGAAGACAGAGGATGGGGCCCACACAGTATAACACCATAATTTGGCAATGAGAAACAGACAGTTTTTGAAATACATCTCCATGGGAACAGCAAGCAGACACCAAGAGAAACTCGTATGGTTTAGGCAAAAGGAGCCCCTTGTTACATGCTACAAATGAAATGTCAGCGTACAATATTACTTGGTTGTTTGTACCCTGCCCTGGGCTACTGCCATGACTTGCCCCCCCCCCCCCCCTTAGATCAAGCCTCCCACGTCACTTGGAGACGTCTGTGACAAGATTTAAGTGTTTCAAAATATTGCATTTCCAGAGCAAGAACAAACAGTCCCAGTGTTGTGTAACCGAAAATGCATTAAATACTAGAGTGTTGTTACTCACTGTAAACAGAACATGAATACCTATATACAATTAATTGATTCAACATGCATCTTATCCACACTGTGATCTAACTTGGCAGTGTTATATTTTATAACTATACTTTAAGTATGATTAGATGAAGTAATCTTTATTAGTAGCCTGTTAGCGGCTGTAAGCTAGTACTTTTACTTGGAAGTCATCCACATTTGCAATCTTGTTTATGAGTCTCTACACACCACCAGGAGATTAATGTTGCATCCCTTACATTCGGAATTCCCACTGCTTTGGGTCATAGTTTTCTTTCCCTGGGCAGCTTCTTTCCTGAAAGGAGTTTCTCCTGACTATTTCTGCTCAAAGCATCTGAGATGCAACTGGCATAGAAGCTGCACTTTTAGACCCACCTGTTTCAGACAGGCAGAGAAAAACACAATTTTGGCAAAAAAGTTGTCAAGACAAGTTACAAGAAAAGATAAAGTGTTAGAAATATTAAGTAACTTAACACTAGTAATCCCAAACTACCTCTGTCATCCAAGTGCTGCATTTTAACATTTACACGTTTTAACTTCAGTTTTTCTCTGTTTCACTAACAAAAAAAGTCATACTGTAAATGTGGGAGATATGACAGGAACTGTAAGATTATACCATCCAGCATATGCTCACAAACTAAGAGTTGGGGAAGGATACGGTTTTTCCTCTGCACTCAATATTAATTCTATGTGAAAGAATTGGGATGGAAAGAGATGTTCCTGTAAGAAGTAATAAAACATGAGTGACAGGATCAGGCTGTTTTAAATGTAACATAGATGCTGGCATCATTCTGGGAATCAGACCACATAGCCCGTGTCTCTGGTGCCAGGACATGAAATCAAACAGAACAGCGTATCAGCCGTTCATGCTTCGTACCCAGGATTTCGGACACAGGACTGTGGACAGATCACTTCCATCACACAGCCGTGACAAGCATTAAGCTGCTCTATAAGTACAATCTTTGTTGAAAATTTTTCCTCTCCCACAGCCCCGTAACTGGTAGAACCGAAAATAAAAATCTCCACTAAGGAGAGGAAAGTGTGCCGTCAGCTGTAAACATCTGCTGAAACTCAGAGCTTGCAGAAAACCCCTCGCAGTTTTATGAAAACTGGCTGCTACTCATTATTTTCTCAGATGCATCAGGAGCATCAGATCAACCGTCAAATTCACACTTTTAATTAACATTGTTTCCACTTTTAAGAGAATACCTTGATACCTTTAGCGCACTGAGTCTCTGGCAAAACTCTGGAGAACAAAAAAACGCGTGTTTTAAAACACACACGGCTGCAGGATCAGATCCCAAAGGAGTATTTAAAAGTGTTCACAACAATAAAAATAACAAAGCCCAGAACATTTGGATGTTTGAGAACTCTAAGGGCTGTGTCCATTTTGGACACGGGAAAGAGCTGTTTGTGCCGCATTACGCCATTCTGCAATCAGCAGCTGCAGATCCAATTTGCTGCTAAATGAGAAGTTTATCTTACTAAGAAAAAGTAGATAAATTTGGGATGTTAAAAATTAATCTAGTCCAGTGATTACTACTAATTGCTAATCTGTTTCAGCACTTCGGATGCATAATTCAAATCAGCACCTCACTGGATAAGCTATTGCTGTTTACACCTTCTCACTGCAAGAGAACGAACGTCAAGATCTGCTTTTTTTTTTTAATACTTACTACAGAAATTGTAACAGTAATTAATACGCTCATTCAGCCCCTCCAGCTCTTTTAGTCCAGCCACATAGTTCAAATCACAGCAGTCAAGGCTGCCTAGCAGCGTAACCAGCCAGGATATTTTCCCCACTGCGCAAGACAGCGGGTCAGGCTGTTGTGGAACAAAAAGCGACTTGGCTATCGCAGAGCTACGGCTGCATTAGGGAGCAGAGATTTCCGCAGCAGGGCTCAGCTCCACACCAAAGCCAGCTTCACCTCTGCAGGAGAGAGTCGTCAAGCTCAGGAACCTTCGGTTAAACCCAAAAGGTCCGGAGCGATCGTTTGAAGATCATTTAAAAGGAAGATCGATGGGGAGCGGAGAGGTGCGGGTTTGTGTGGGCTTGCTGCCTGACTCCTCGTCCCATGGGGAGGCCATGGAGGAGCTCTGTTGGGACGGCGAGCCACCAGCAAGACGTGCGTGAACACCGCTCCTCTTCGGGAGCTGCGGGGTGGCCCCAGCCCCACCACAGAGCCCTTCCGCAAGGCCCAGTCCCGCAGGACGCTGGCCCTCCCCAGTGCTCCCCGTGTTCACCAGGACCCAGCCCCAAACCCCTTCCCACCGCCGCAGAGCTTCGCACCGGGTCAAGGACAGCCAAACACCACCCAGGCAAGCAGCTTCCTCACGGATAAAACCCTCCTCGCCTCTGCCCGCACTCAGCCCATCCAAATCCGATTTTGCTGAGCGCCAACGCGATGCCAAAGACATTTACCGGGCGGGTCTGTGAGCGCTGCAGGGGCGCTGGGGAAGATGGCGGCAGGGTGACCGGGAGGGGACAGGCCAGCGTGGCACCACAGCCTGCCGCTGATCAGCACCGGGGCCTGCCACACGCCCCGGAGAGGCG